CCTCTCTTTTCCTGCTCTCTCCTCCCCCTTCTGCTCATTCTTTCTGTAGTTTACATTTCTGCTGATTAACTTAGGGATTTTTTGGGGGACAATTCATTGTTGACATTTAAACATGAGACCCTAAAATGAGTCACAAGCTCTGCATTCATAGAACCATGTGCTTTTCAGTGAGGTTCCCCGCCACGTGAGGACTTACTTTTTTTTTTTTTTTTGGAAATCTTATAGATCAGCATTTTGTCTCTTATTTTTTTAGATGAGATGGGGCCAGGTAGTATGGCCATAGATTCCCCCCTATGTTTAGGCCCAGCCATCTCTCCACAGGGGGCCTCTCCTATTTTTCTGTTATGATTTGAATTGTATCCCCCCCAAACAAAAACAAAAACAAAAACAAACAAACAAACAAACAAAAAAAAAAACAACAAAAAAACACGTATCAAAATCCTAACCCCCGGGACTTTGGAGAGTTACCCTACCTGGAAATAGCGTCATTGCAGAAGAAATTTTTAGGCGACAATAAGGTCACATTGGGGTGGGGTGGCCCCTTGTCCAGTACGGTGAAGACAGTGGACAGCACTGAAGGAAATCACACACCAGGACAGACACACGGAGCAGCCTGGGGTGACCAGGCAGAGATGAGCAACCCCACTCCAGGAGCCGGAGGAGTCAGGAAGGACCCTCTTCCAGGGTTCATGGGCTCGGAGCCCCACAAGCGCCCCAACCCCAGACTTCCAGCCTCCAGAACGATGGGAAAATAGTTGCTCTGTTACACGGCGCTAGCGAACAAATGCAGTGTGGCCAGACAGCCGCTGGTGACGCTGCCCGCGGGAAGAAGAGAGCCTGGCAGGCAGTGCCCTTCGTGCCATTGTTCAGCGGCCTCTTGGCCTTTCCTTCTGTGCCTGGGGTCCCCGGGTCTGGACTTTATCTGGTTTAACTGCTCTTGAAAGTCCTGGGGTGCAGATCTAGGGTCCCGTGTCCTTGTTATGCAGATGCACGGTTAATTGGGGAGCTTTCATGCTCAGCTCCAAGCCACGGCTTCCTGCACCACATCGGCTCTCCCCGCGGAAGTGAGGGCGCCCCCTTCCGGCGGCCGGCCGCGCCTGTCCTCTGCCTGGCCTCTGCGGGACTCCAGAGGCGTCGCCCCACACCCTGCCCAGCGCCCCGCGCGCAGGCGCTTGGATGAGCGAAGGACTGGGGAGGACTTTGAAGATTAAAATGCGTGGGTGTCTGACTTCGCGTTAAAGGAAACCAACCCCGCCGCTCAGATTATTAAAAAACAACCGACCCACCATGCTTTCTAATGGAAATTTACATTTCAAACTGAAAAAAAGTCAAATTAGAAATTTGATGGAGTCCTATAATTATAAAACCAAACCTTGCTTAAATGGTTGAATTCCAGTCAGCTGCAGAAAGGGCTTGGCTCTTCTCACTTTTTGGGTTTGACATCCTTAAAATTCATCAGCTGAATATGGTTTATAGCTCACAAATTCTAGGAAAAGCGCTGTATTTTTAACTGGGCAGTTTTACACCAGTTTTCCTAGATCCGGCTCAGTGCTGACCTATTACTTCTACCTCATGCCATCTTCCCGTTCATCCCCAAAGCCACCAACTCAAGCTGAAGGTGGGTTGGTTCCTCCTTAGACTTTCGTTTGCAAATTTAGGGTGTTTATCATTATAGGGCGCTTTCTGCGCACTTAATGTCAGAGATTCACTTTAGGACCCCACGTCCTCGCCCCCTCTCCTAACTCTATACTTTGGTGACTATTTTTGGATGTCAAGGTGTTCACCTCAGGGGATGATGATTACTTCAATTCCTGTCTGCTGTGATTAGAAAAATGGACCTAACGAAAATCAAGGAAAATCAGATGGGGAATAGTCTTATTACAGCAGAAGAAATAAGAGAAATTAAAAAAAAAAAACATAAGGGAATGACACAGGGAAATTGGTGTCTTGATTGACCAGCCAGCTCAGGGTTTCTTTCGAAGTGTATCTGTCCTCTAAAGGTCTTTTCGGTGCACCAGACAGGACTTCTGTGGGTGATAAGTGTTGGAAACTGAGCTCAAATTAGCACAGCCAAGAGTAACTTTTGGCTCGCCTAACTGCAGGCGACTGAGTAGGAGGGGCAGGCCCCAGGTCCCAGGGAGGCCCAGATGCAGGAAGCCAAGGGCACTTCCTCTCCCTCTCATCTTGCTTTGAGCCATCTCACTTCCTCCATGTGGCAGCCCACCTGGCAGAGCCCAGGGTCACGCCAGAGAGGCCAAGGATGCTCTAGGTTCAAAGCGGGACCCTAGGGGCCCCTCACCTGCTGTTTCTGTCCCTGGGGCTCCAAGGGGAGGTGCTGGTGAGGGAGCTGTGGGAAGATGGTGTCTTTCTTTGACCCCCTGATGAAAGCCAGGTGTGTACCCAAATGGGCGGGGCCGTCCCAGGCATGTGACCCAGCAGATACCATTTGCCACGAACAACATGTCCGCCTTCGCCTTGGGAAGCTGAAGTTTGAAGCCAGATGTTGGCTGTGCTCTCCAACGTTGCTGTGTGCAGAATTATCTGTGCAGCAGAAGCGACTCATAAACATTTGCATGATAGGGTACGTAGGGAGGAGGAAGGGCAGCTGGCCCTTCCTGTGCCCTCTGTCTGTGTCCCTGAACCCTGAGTGGGGCCACATCCAGTGATGGAGAGTCCAAAGTGTGCATACAGGAGCAGAGAAAGAAGGAGAGGTCAGGGGTGGGGTGGTGGCAGATGTGACGGGCATGGTCTATACCCCAGGTGGAGGGGCTGGTGCTGGGTTATTGAGGACGTCACTGAGCTACTTGTTCTGTGCATGATGGAAACGAGCAGCTCATCCAAGACCGGTAGTTGGTGAGCAGCAGGGAAGGCACTGGGGTAGCGTCCCAGGCAGGGATCAGTTTCCGCTTTGCCCCCGGGGAGGCTTGAAACACCCTTAGGGATGGATCAGAAGCTGCAGCTGTCCCTGGACTGCAGAATCAGTGGAAACCTCTGTTTTCCTCCTAGGTTGGGCCCGCAGTCCTGCTTTTCCTGAAATAGCACCGCTACCTCTGCGGTGTGAGCTGACTTTGGAATCTAACTGGCTCCTCAAGCCAATCAGCTCATACAACAGCACTGACTGCTCCTGAGCAAGAGAGGAGCATTGCTTCTTTAAATCTTGTTCTAAATAATTTGTCACCTTTGCTATTGAAAGAAGAGTGATTTCTCATACCAAGGAATTAGCTGTTCAGAAAACAAAGTTGTATTTGTCTTGAAAAAAGGAACCATGATGCCAGGGGGTGTGGGCGTGTCGAGTTGGCTTAGCTGGCCTGGGTGGGGGCACACAGGATGGATTTCCATGCAGTGGCCGGGGCCGGTGTGCCCGAGAGAACCTCCCAGGCTGGTGGCCAGTGGGAGAAGGGAGCTTTGGGGAGCACTGTCCCCCACCATGTCATGTGGGCAGTGTGGTCCCTGGGGTCTCTGCTCATCCTTCCCCTGGAGGTGACACAGGGAAACCCTGCCACCTTGACTCTCTCTCTATTCTCCACTTGACGAGCTGCAGACACCCCTGGGAGCAGCATGAGGGCCCTGGAGAAGTGAGGTGCACGTGGACTCTCTGGGGTGCTGTCTCCTTCTTCCCTAATCCAGAAGGGAATAACCCATGGGAGGATTATCAATGCCCTGGCTGTTTGAGTTTGGCTTCTAAATGATCCAAAAGTCAAAAATGTCTTACAAATGTCTGGATTTTTCTTGCATGAGCTGACTCTTGTGATGCTGAGGTTTGATGGTGCCCAAGGTGAAGCTGTGATCCGACCTCTGCCACCAGCCTGGGGTGAGATCAGTGGCTCTGGACTTTTCTGAGGACCAGGCTCAGATCTATTGAAAAGGGTTTTGGGTGAGGATGTTTGTGATACAAGATATATGTCAATTAAAGATGGTTGAAAGATAGATGCTCCATAGAAATTAAAGTTCCTCCTCAAGAGTTTTCTCAGTTTCATTCTGTGGCTGAATAACAAGAAGTGCTGGTGAGGTGGAGGGGATGGGACAGGAAATCAGTGTGGAGAGTCCTCAAAAAACCAAAGCTCAACATCCCATTCCACACAGCTGTTTCTCACCTGGGTATCTGCCTAAAGGGGTAAAGACATGCTACAGTGCTGTACGCACACCCATGTTTATAGTGGCACAATTTGCAATAGCAAAGTGCTGAAAACCCCCTAGCTGCCCATTGAATGGCTACAGAAAATGTAGTGTCACAGAGTGGAATATTATTCAGCCATAAAGAAGGACGAATTCAGGTCATTTGGAGGAAAAAATGGATGAATCTTGAGCCCATAATATGTTTCCCCAAATGAATGTAACTATTATGTATGGTAATATACACCAATAAAGAGTTTTCTTGAAATTCTGAGCCAGATTTAACTGTCTTTATTCCCCTAGTGTGTGTCCCATAATGAGACCAAGCCTCATAATCAGAACCATTATATATAGAACATAAAAAAAAGCAGTTTCCTTTTTTTGCCTTTTCACTATCTAACAGGGCTTTGGTTAGCAGAGGCAATTTTATTTGCTGGTTTTTATATTTGAAAGGGGAGATTATTAGGAGAAATCTGAATTCAGAAACTTCAAGAAGCAATGGGAGGGTGTGGTGAGGGTGGAGGGGGCTGCATTTCCTGTTTGCCTTTTCAGATGGTGTCTGCAAACACTGCGGGAAAACCATGGATACCCACAAAGACATTCCAAAATTCTTTCTCTTTGCCGTAGGGGCCCTGCCGAAAAGGTGCCGGGTAGAAGTGCTGGAGCTTTTTTTTTTTAAGAGCTAGAGTTCGCGGGAGTCCAGCTACACGCTTGTAGGGTGAAGACAGCTCTCGGGGGTGACATCAGCTAGAAACGGAGGCCAGAAGCAACAGAGCCCGGGGTCTGGTTTTCATTTACAGTTGGGGGGAGGGGGGGGAGGAGGAGGAGGAGGAGGAGAGGAGGAGGAGGGGCTGGAGGAAGCCCTGACTGTACCCCTGGACCCTGGCCAGCTGGGGCTCAGCCTCATCAAGTCTCCTTGGCTTTCCGGCTCCAGTCTCGGCCAGGCTGCAGGAAAAGCTGTCAGCCTGCTCTGTCCTGCAGAGCCCAGACCCTCTGCCTCGGTGGACGAGGCTGCGGGGAGAGGTGGAGACGGGCAGGAGGAAACTATGCTTCTGGTCAAACGTGACTGAAGCCAGAAGCCAGGGACACACACCTTTAGGTCTGCTCAGGGTGAGTGTCGGGGCCACAGGGATGCGCTTTAAAGCAGAGGTGGGCTGCTTTTGGTGGGTGCTAGCGGCTCTGATGATTGCCCTGTGTGTCCGTTCTCTGTCCGTGTTTCAGATTTCTGGAAAAGTCTGTCTCGTTTTCCTTCTCACTCTGTGGCCAAGAGTGAAGGTTACAGGTTACACAAGCGTAGAGCGGGATCTTGGATTTTCAGCCACTGGTCCGCGGGTGCCCAGAGCACCCTGTGTGCGCCTGACTGCCTTGTGTGGGCTCCTGGTTTTCAGGAAGGTGACCCTGCTCCAGCCCAAGCCACTGGAGTGTGTTTTGCTTGCAGAAATGCCTGGCTGGCATCACAGTTACCTGCCGGGTGATTTTCTCTGGGCTGGCTTGAGGTGACCCTAGCTAGGCTGTAGCCAGCATCGTTCTCCTGGGGCCACCGTGGGAAGGTGTTGTGGGGCACATCCATTGCCTTCAAGAGTTTGGGGTCACTCTGGGGCCCAGGTTCAGCTGTGACCACCGGGTGGCGTCTTTTTAGGAATCTGAAGTCACTCATGGAGGCTTTGTCTTCAGGGGCTGCACAAAAATCAGTGTGGGCAGAGGAGAAGGAGTGTGACACTCCAGTCACTGCTGCGTGGAAGAAGCCAGGCTTGGGCTGAGTTGGTGCCACGCAGGGGTGCTGTGGATGCTCCCTGGCTGGGAAGACCAGGGTGGGGCTCGGGTCTTCCGTACCTGTTTGCCTATGCCTGCCAGCCTATTTGGGGCCAGATTTGATTTCAAGCTGCTGTGTTAAGGAACTGGTGACACTGGGACTGGGGTGGGGTCCCAGGTGGCCCCTGGAGTGTTGGGAGAGACCGAGGGGAAATCTAAGTTTCACTGTGAGTCCAGGGATGAAAGTGATGCTGGTCTGGGCCTTGAGAACAGGCTGGCACGATCTAGAGAGCCCCTGTCCCAGGAAGACAGTGTGTAGACCCGTGTCAACCACAGTTTACCTGATGGAAAGCTTGGGTCCCACAGTCTGGGACGCTTGAGGGATAGATGGGTGGTCCCTGCTTTCCAGAGGACCCATCCTAGAGACAAAAGCTAAACCCACATGGCTTTAAAGTCAAAATTACACTGCCTTTGACCAAAACATTATTGAAGACCCACTTGCTGGTTACTGAGTCCTCCAAGTTCTTTGCCGCTGGGTGACAGATCCTAGCAGAGGGTCTTAGCTAGAAGCTCACATGTGGCCACTCTGGAATTTTTTTTTTTTTTTTTTTGTACTGGGAATCAAACTCAGGACCTTTCGCTTGCCAGGCAGGTGTGTACCCACTGAGCTGTGTCCCCACTCCTGACACTCTGGTTTTAAAGGTGAGGGGTCAGAGGTTTTGAGAGGCTGACTTCTCTCGGGGCATAGAGCTGGTAGCTGAGCTGGCAGCAGCGTCCTGGTCCACTCCCAGGAGAAACGGGCTGATGTGTGCAGGAATGGAAGATCCCAGACCAGCAGGCTCCTGATTTGGAATGTGCCACCTGAGTTGTCCCCTGGGAGGGAATTTCTTCTTAATATTTGATTAACACGAATAGGAAAATTGGTTTTAATGCCCTAAGGATCTTAGGACAAGTGGAGAGAGAAGGGAGGTGGACAGAAATACAAGTAGGGGCAGTGTCAACCCTGTGACTGAAGTCCAGGCAGGCGTCCCTCAGCCAGGCCACCCCTAGAGCGTGGGAGCCCTTGGTTCTGGCGTGGGACTGGTCCAGGTGGAGGCTGGGGCTGGAGAGGGGGAGTTTCTTTCATAGGAACGGGAATTCTAGGATAAATGGTTTCGGCTCTGAACATCTGTGTTTAGACAAGTTTTTTTTTTTTTTTTTTTAATCACACGAAGTTTATTTCTTTCTCTTTCCCTCCATCATGGCAAGAGGCCATTAATCAGACTTGGGGTGCTAAGGGGATGTAGTGGGGTAGCAGGCTCAGTAGCCAGGTGACTCTGCTGGGTTTTTGCTACCTGTGCATCAGAGGCTATGGCTGCAGTACCTTCTGGGAAGTGACTGGGATAGCTCTAGGATGTCAGCCCCTGGGAAGGACTGGTCCCCTGTGGGATGTGTGTGCCCCATCCCGCTGTGGTTAAGGCCTGGAGGCGAGGGGCTATGGGGCAGATGGCTAAGTGTAGGGTTGTAATGGTTTGGAGGTAACATAAAGATGTTTCTGGTTTTTTTTGTTGTTGTTGTTGTTCTGGGGATTGAATACAGGGCCTTTGCACTAAGTTACTCCCCTGTTTCTCTTATTTTTTATTTTAAGGCACAGTCTTATTAAATTGCTGAGTTTCCCTGGCTGGGCTTGAATTTGTGATCTTCCTGCCTCAGCCTCCTAGAGTGTTGGGATTACAGGCGTGCGATGTCATGCCCAGCTGGCATCTTTCTGAATCAGAATCATCTTTACGTTTTGCTTTATTTCACTGCATCTTAGGACTCATAGGAAGTGGCTTTTGTGGTTCCATCCATTAGAACTGAGTGCATCCCTTCTGATGAGGGAGGAGGCACCTGTCCGGTCCCTCACCTGTTGGTGAGAGGTGAGAATTTTTTGGAAGGTTTGCACCTGGACCTTGGCTTTGGGTGGGGCATCTGTGGATGCCAGTGTTTGAAGCCTTGTGTGCAGTGGGACCTTCTCTGCTGGAAAGGGTTCGAAAGCTCTCCTGGGAGAACTGTTCTCTTTGTGCCTCTGTGTCTTCAGGGGGCCTTTGTGTGAAATTTCTGACCAGGGTTTAAAATTCACTGGCAGGCCAGCCCTCCTGTGTCCTGAGATGTTCTTGCAGGCATGCCAATAACTTTAGCAAAACTTCTTATTTGAAAACCAGTTGTTATCATTTCTTGATGGGTGGGGCTGAGAATTTGGTGTCTCCTGGGGAGGATGCAGTCAGTGTCCTTTCTGGGCTGGATGATGTGTACCAGGTGGCCTTTGCACAGTGGCCTGTGGGGAGCAAACTTTACACGGTGTGCTGGCTATGGCAGGCAGGCCATAAACACACACACCGCCGCTGCAGAAATAGCTGACGACTTGAAGAGCGAGCTGACATTTAGAAAGAAATCCTGCTGGAGGCTCCCGCCAAGGAGTCCAAAACCTCAGTGAGTGGAATTCTGAAGCAGGGAGGGGTCGAAGGCTCCCACTAATCCAGAGAGCCACATGCTAGGCGGGGCAGCACCTCTTCTCTCACTGGTTTCCAGATAAATTTCTTGGTTTCCACTGTGAAATCTCCATGGCACAGCCCTGCTGTGCAAAACACAGCTTACGTCCCTACGCCATACTGAAGAAGGTCTCTGCTTCTTAGGGGAAGGCTCAGGTCCGGTTTCGCCAAGAGGAATTATTTTTGGGAATTCTGTTAATTTTCAGAAATGAAATTTCCAACACATTCGGGCCCCACAGGGCTATTTTGGGGGAGGAGATGGCATCTCAGGCCAGCTTTCCTCCAGGGAGAGCCGCTTGAGAAGATGTAGTTTGTTTTCTTTTCTCTAGAGGGCGGTGTATCCCTCTGAATGCCAGGAAAATTCCAAAGTGGTGGGTGGTGGGTGGCTGGGTGACTGGGTAGCTAGGTGGGTGGGGTTTCCTGGGGTGGGGTGCTAGGGAGTCCTTTTCCTCTATTTCAGGAGAGCTCTGCACAGCTTTGGGACCTGCCTAGGGACTGCTCAATGAGTTAATATCAATGTGGCTGTACATATTAACCTGACTTGGGCATAGATGTAGGATTTTACTTCTGTGCTCAGGGGTGAGTGTGGTGAGGTGAAATCATGTCTTTAAATGATACATGCTAAAACAACTTCATCTCAAGAAGGTGGGAAATTCTGAAGAAAGCCTTTCCCTCCTGTCTAATTTTACAAAATTTAAACCTGGAGTGGGGTGCCTGAGAACCATTTGTAGATTCACGCCATGAGCTGTGTCTGTGTAGGATTTCTGAATTCTAAACCTGCAAGAAATCTTAAGATTAGCAGAAACACTAACTCGTAGAGTCTCATCATCATCCTTTTGCCATTTCCCTCTGGTAGACAACTAATTGTAACATATTAGAGCAATTTACACAGAGTAATAAATGTCCTATTGTAAATGTTTGTTAATAAAGATAAATCACGGCTGGGAGTGATGGCACATGCCTGTAATCCCATCACTCAGAAGGCTGAGGCAGGAAGATTGCCATGAGTTCAAGGGCAGCCTGGGCTACATAGTGAGACCCTGGCTCAATAGAACCAAAATAAAAATAAAATAAAATAAAATAAATCATTGTCTCTCAAGCTTAATGATTTTAGGTGATTACTGCCGCTAGGGTGCCCAAGAGCAGAATTTGAGCAAAGCAGCCTCAGTTTAATTGATCTATGTGTTTTCCATGTTTATTTGACTTGAAAGCACTATGGTGGTCCAGGACACTGCACTCCAGGAGCAGAGGAGGGGACATAAGTGATGAAGACATAGCCCTGCTCGCCTGGGTCTGACAAGCCTTCCGCTTGACTGCTTTCCACACAGGCAGGGGACTGTCCTGAGGCCACAGTGGCCAGAGTGGAATTGAACCAGTGTTTCTGGGTTTTCTGCTGCTGCCTGGTGTGGTCCCTCGAGTAGAGCCTGGGCCAGGCTTGGGGGCCAAGCCTCTAAGGGCAGGTCTGAGTCACATGGAGAAAGGGCTCGAGTTCACCAGCTTTTCTTTGGAAGAGCACCTAGAGTGTTGATTTAGCAGAGGAGCAACTGTTACTTAAATAAGCTGGAAAGGAAAAGGAGAGAAGAAAAATGAGACAAACATGAAAATTGCTGCCAAGCCCTCTCCCGAAGGCTGATTGCTGGTCTTGCTGGGATTGGGCTGCACGTAGCAGGGCACGGCCCGGGCTTCGGGCTTCTTCGGGAGGTTAGGGCTCAGGACCCGAGTTGGAGCGCCCAAGGGTAGGCGTGGCCAGGAAACATTTCTGGGAACCCCCAACCTGAGTGCTGCACCACAGATCTTCATGGATCCGGCACAGAGGGACCTGGCCCCTGGATGGAAGAGCTCAAGGAG